TTTTGGGGGATCCCCAGCTCCCAGCTACTTCGAGCGCCTCCCCACCTCACGCATCGAAATTCTTTTGCTGTACGTACTCTCTGGGAGGGCTCTACCCGCCTTCCCTGCTGCACGTGTTTACCTGCTGCTGACCGACGTGTAACCCTCCTCTTTCTGCCCCTCCTCCTCCTTCCTCCTTCCTCCTCCTTCTCCTACTCCTCCTCCTCCTCCTCACGCTCCTCCTCCTCCTCCTCCTCCTCCTCCTCCTCCACAATTGCACAATATGAAAATACTCTCCCACTTCCCCTGATGGCGTCCCGAAGATGGCCGACCCCCCCCCGCGTACTGTTCTTTTACACACAGGATTCCCGGGAAACGGGTTTTCGCCTGCGTTTTTTTTCAAAATGCTGCTCTCGCTGAGGCGCCGGCTTCATTTATGCTCCCGAATCGTTCCGAATCGTGCTCCCGTTGCAGCGTGGGCCTCATTTTCGGATCGGTGTTTGGCCTCCGTCGTTCAGGATGGCGTTCTCGCCCCAGCGCGGGCCTTCTTTCTCGCGCGCCCATCCGCCCGCCACCACCGCGCACCGCCACCACCACCACCACCACCACCACCACCACCACCACCACCACCACCACCACCACCACCACCACCACCACCACCACCAGCACCCACAGCACCCACCACCACCACCACCACCACAACCACGCACACACGCACGCACGCACGCACGCGCACCACCACCCACTACGCACGCGCGCGCGGAGCCACAGGTCCGCTACGACACGCGTCCGCGGATAGAGAAAATCAGCGCCGTGGTAAGGGATGGGAGGGAGGGGTAGGACGTCAGATATGACGCGAGCGCACCTAGCTTGTTTCGCTCCCCCCTCCCCCCTCCCCCTCCCCCTCCTCCCCCCCTCCCCCTCCCCTCCCTCCTCCCCCTCCCCTCCTCCCTCCCTCCTCCCTCCCTCCCCCCCCTCCCCCCCCCCTCCCGCCTCCCCTCCCCCCCCCTCCCCCCTCCCCCTCCTCCTCTGGGAGCACCTGTCGTCTCAGCAGGCCCGCCCGCCCGCCCGCAGGCGGCGGCCTCCCCCCCGCTGCTCGAGGGACCCTGCGAGGACTCCAGAGGCCTCCCTGGAGGTCCTCGGGGCCTCTCGGTGGCCCCGCCACCGGCAGGCGGACCTGCACGCAACGCCTCGATCTTGCTCCCCTCGCGGACGCGGCACCGAGGTCCGCGGCAGCCCACGCGGCCTCCAGGAGGGCCCCAAGGGCGGCCCAAGAGCGCCCCAGGACGGCCCAAGAGGTGCCCGAGGAGGCCGCAGCAGGGCCCGAAAGGCGGCCCTCCAGAAGGGGGGGGGGCCCGCGAGGGAGCACGGGCCGAAACACCGAGGCCTCTGCCCCGAGAGGCCCCGGGGAGGCCCCAGGAGGGCGCCCAGGAGGTCTGCCGCCCTGCGGCGCCGCCTGCAGGGGTCCGTCTGGGAGAGCGCGCCCTCGAAACGACTCCGCCTGCGGCCACCTGACGGCTCTGCTCTGCCTCTGCCCCTTCGCCTCTGCCCTCTCCCTCCGCACCTCGCCCCCCCTCCTCCTCCTCCTCCTCCTCCTCCTCCTCCTCCTCCTCCTCCTCCTCCTCCTCCTCCTCCCTCCTCCTCCTCCTCCTCCTCCTCCTACCTCCTCCTCCTCCTCCTCCTCCTCCTCCTCCTCCTCCTCCCTCCTCCTCCTCCTCTCCCCCTCCTCCCCCCTCCTCCTCTCCTCCTCCTCCTCCTCCTCCTCCTCCTCCTCCTCTCCCCCTTCTCCCCCTCCTCCTCCTCCTCCTCCTCCTCCTCCTCCTCCTCCTCTTCCTCCTCCTCCTCCTCCTCATCCTCCTCCTCATCCTCCTCCTCCTCTCAGTCTGCGTTGGAGGCCTGGCCCAGGCAATGCGAGCTCCGACGACGTGAGGATTTTCACCGAAACTCACTCACACGACTTCCGCCCCATACATCTCCAATCCCTGTCGGGCGGGCGAGAGGGAGTAGGGGGGAGGAGGAACGGAGAGAAGAAACAATCCCTGCAACCACCCCGATACCGTACTTTCTGCGACACCTTCTCGCGTAACAAGCTCGTAAGCTGGTGGCGGAATTTTCGTGTGCCGCAACTTTCCATGTTTATGGAGGATTGGAGTGTGACCTTGAGCAAAATGACCCGCCAAAAGATTGCTATGACTTTCATTTGCGAACAATTGGTTTCACTAGTGCCGTCGCTAAACAGCAGTTACCAGAGGGAAGATGGAGGCCCCGAGTTTCGGAGGCAACCAGAGGGTGCCAATGAAGAACCTCGATACACCGTAAACGATTCAGAGCCTGGGGAACAGCTGCACCAGGAACTTGGCCCTGTACCACATGAGGAGTCAAAGAAACAGAGAACGATTGGTTTGGAAAAGATGACGCTGGATATAGATGATCAGCTGCGGCAGTGGATCCCCAGTGACCCAGCTCTGCATTCGTTCGCCCGTCGGCGGGATAATTTGAACGAGAAAAACCACAGGGAAGATGGAGGACCCGGGGTTCGGAAGTGATTGGCCTTCGCCAGTGATGAACCTCAGGCGACAAAGAGGGAAGATGGAGGCCCCGAGGTCCGGAGGTCATTGGCATCTGCCGATGATGGGCCTCGAAAGCCCATGGACTCCCGAGGGGAAGCGGACGAAAAAGAGATCTGGGAAGATGGAGCCAACCCAAATTTCTGGAAAGGTTGACCCAGTAGATCGACACGTTTGTTCGCCGCCGGATAGAGAAGGTCTGACATGGTGGAGGCCCCGAAGTTCAGAGGTCACCGATTGGTGCCGATGACGAACTTTGAAAACCCATGCTCTTCCATGATGACCCTGCGATCGCAATGCCTTTAGAGTTCTTCAGTCGTACAGCGACCAACGAAGGAATCACGAAGAGCGTTTCGCAAACACTCTGCACGGAACGGGGGATGTCCATTGGAGAATTTGTTGAAGTACTCGGCTTTTTGTTTGCTTCGATGGGGAATTGCGCAGGTTCGGAGGAGGTGGGGAAGGAGCAGGGAGCAGACGCAAAGGGACCGGCAACATTGCCTAACGGGGACTCCCCCGGACCTCATCAGTGTTTGAAGAAAGGTTCGTCATAGAAAAGATGGCCCGGAACGCAACGGAAGAATTGCGGACGGCATCTTTGACATTAGCTGGAACAGTATTGGCCATTGCGTTCTTGCGGATGAACTAGGCGCGAATTTGTTTCCAGCCGCGCAGTGCGCGCTTTGGCAGAAGTGGAGTTCGGTCTTTCGACATGGGAGAGTTTTCGTGGAGTTATCGTTCGAGCTGGAGACCAATACAACTGCTACGCCGTGAAGATTACGCTCCCTCAGAATCGGAAGCTCTCGTCAGCGTTCAATCTTTTGCGCGTGCCGCATTTTCCCCCGGATTTTGTGGGAAACGAGGAGAACTATGCACATTGACACACACCGCTCCTGGCCAGGCCCATCCTGCGCCCAGGACTAAGTCGGGCCAGTCCCCTATACAGGCAAATCTTGCACGACTGATAGAACCAATCCACATATGCTTACAAATAGTCAGTACATAACCTCCAAACGATTGTTTGACTATATCGGGATATTTGTCTTGTAGAGGGACAGGCCCAACTTAAGTTCAGGATCTGTGTGTATGCTTCCGTGGCCACGCCACGAAGACGTGTGCACCGATATCCTGGCCCGAGGATGCGCCTGGCGAGGCTCGGTGTATGTGCACAGTACTATTCCTTCTACTTATCCTTAGTTTTGTTTTATAGTCCTCCTGTTACTTCCCATTATTTCTTCTACCAATCCCATTATCCGTAAGGGTTTCGCCCCCTGCCGTTGGCCCCCTTTTCTCGGATAGTGCGCTATGCAAGAGCTATGTCATGAGGCCTGGGCGCTGTCGTGAAGCAGTATCGGACCTTCATGCGAGGCCAACTCGTAATGAACAAGACCAATAGATGACCTGAGGGGTGACTACACGTGGCGATTGGGAAGACGTTGTGACCCTGCCGATCTGCGTGAAGGGTGCCGCCGGATTTCGGACATGTGGCAGATCCCTTGTGTCTTCGGACCCTGACCCAGCCGATCTGCGTGAGGGGTGCCTTTGAATGCTTCCGAATTTCAGAAATGTGACACGTCCCATGTGTTTTTAGAGCCTGACCCCGCCGATCTGCGTGAGGGGTGTCACCAAACGCTAGACATGTTGCGAATCCCATATGTTTTTGGACCCTGACCCCGCCGATTTGCGTGAGGGGTGCCACCCAATTTCAGACATGTGGCAAATCACATTTGGTTTTGCACCCTGACCCCGCCGATCTGCGTGAGGGGTGCCACACAGTTTCAGACACGTGGGAAATCCCATGTGTTTGTTGGACCCTGACCCCGCCGATCTGAATGATGGGTGCAAATTTTTACCCACCCCAGCAATTCAGACAATACGATTCTTCCGTTGGAAGAATGCCCGTTTTGGGCCTTACCCCCTCGCGCGGTCCATCAACAAGGAAAAGTAAGCAGCAAAAAGTCAACAAGGAGCAATAAGCAGCAAAAAGCAGAACTGCAACAGTGGAAAATGGAAACTGCAACTGGCACAGGAAACTGCGAACCTCCGGCCTACAGCATGGTGGCCCCACAAGGGGGCCGGCGGATTATCTCAGTATTATCCCACTATTATTTCTTCTCTGATCCGACGATTGTCCCGTTATTCTCTCACTATTACCATCGTATTTCTTGTACGTGTCCTCTTCAATTCTCCCGACGAAAATATCCTTGCAGTTGCCTCGAAACCTTGAGTCGGGCCTGTCCCTCTACAGGGGGAATATTCGGAAATAGTGAAAAATCTCCTCGGGACGATTTGTTTGGTATTCCTTTCGCTTTTTCAAATCTGTGTTTGGCAATTTCTTATTTTCGGTCCAAGCTCCGCCTGTGGGGCGGCACGCCCGACCTGACCTTAATCCCTTCGACGAAGATCTCCCAGCAGTGGCCTCCTGACCCTCCCGCCGCCCGCCCCCTGTCCGAGGTCGGCGGCCCCGAGTTCTGAGGCCCCCCGGCGCGCGCTGTGCGCCACCACGGGGGCGGCCGCGCCCTCCCCCCCCCTTCCGCCCGCGAGGGGTTTGGGCGGGGTCCTCCTCCTGCTCCTCCTCCTCCTCCTCCTCCTCCTCCTCCTCCTCCTCTTCCTCCTCCTCCTCCTTCTCCTCCTCCTCCTCGCTCAGAGGGGCGAGGGGGGGGTCATGGGCGGAAGGCAGATCCGTATATCCGCAGCCTCGCGGGCTGGGCCCCTGGGCCGCGACCCCGCGGATGCGGGGCCCTCCCGAGGGAAGTGGAGACCCACCTCCCCCTGCAGAAGTCGTCGGGTGGTGGCGTGGGGCTCGCATGTGTCCTCCTATCCCATCCGCCCCCGCTAACGCTGCCCCTGACCCGCCTCGCTAGCGACGCACACATCCGTATCCGCGCCCTGGCGGTCTGCACTCCGGGGCGCGATCCCGCGGATACGATGCGCGGTTGCACGGACGCGATCCGAGAAGGGGCCTCCGCGAGAAAACGCCTCCTTCCCTCAAACATCGTGGGGAGGTGGGGTAGGGTTCGGTCGGGCCTGTGCCTCTACAGGAGGAGTATTCAAACATTTTTGTTACGCGTATATATATATATATAATTGCCAAACAAACGCCTGGGGACTAGTTTTTGATTATATGTTTTGAATATGTTTTGGGATATGTCTATTGTTTCCTCGAACAACCGCCTGTAGGGGGACATGCCCGACCTTTCGCGCGTGGCCTCCTATAGGAGAGAGGCTCGCTAGTCGTTGAAAGTCGCTTTTGGGGGATCCCCAGCTCCCAGCTACTTCGAGCGCCTCCCCACCTCACGCATCGAAATTCTTTTGCTGTACGTACTCTCTGGGAGGGCTCTACCCGCCTTCCCTGCTGCACGTGTTTACCTGCTGCTGACCGACGTGTAACCCTCCTCTTTCTGCCCCTCCTCCTCCTTCCTCCTTCCTCCTCCTTCTCCTACTCCTCCTCCTCCTCCTCACGCTCCTCCTCCTCCTCCTCCTCCTCCTCCTCCTCCACAATTGCACAATATGAAAATACTCTCCCACTTCCCCTGATGGCGTCCCGAAGATGGCCGACCCCCCCCCGCGTACTGTTCTTTTACACACAGGATTCCCGGGAAACGGGTTTTCGCCTGCGTTTTTTTTCAAAATGCTGCTCTCGCTGAGGCGCCGGCTTCATTTATGCTCCCGAATCGTTCCGAATCGTGCTCCCGTTGCAGCGTGGGCCTCATTTTCGGATCGGTGTTTGGCCTCCGTCGTTCAGGATGGCGTTCTCGCCCCAGCGCGGGCCCTCTTTCATCGCGCCGCCCATCACCACCACCACCACCACCACCACCACCACCACCACCACCACCACCACCACCACCACCACCACCACCACCACCACCACCACCACACACCACCACCACACCACCACCACCACCACCACCACCACCACACAACCACGCACACACGCACGCACGCACGCACGCGCACCACCACCCACTACGCACGCGCGCGCGGAGCCACAGGTCCGCTACGACACGCGTCCGCGGATAGAGAAAGTCAGCGCCATGGTAAGGGATGGGAGGGAGGGGTAGGACGTCAGATATGACGCGAGCGCACCTAGTTTGTCCCCCCCCTCCTCCTCCCCCTCCCCCTCCTCCCCCTCCTCCCACTCTCCCCTCCCGCCTCCCCCGCCCCCTTCCCTCCCTCCCCCTCCCCCTCCCCTCCCTCCAACTCCCTACCCCCTCCTCCTCCTCATCCCTCCCCCTCCCCCTCCCCCCTCCCCCTCCTCCTCTGGGAGCACCTGTCGTCTCAGCAGGCCCGCCCGCCCGCCCGCAGGCGGCGGCCTCCCCCCCGCTGCTCGAGGGACCCTGCGAGGACTCCAGAGGCCTCCCTGGAGGTCCTCGGGGCCTCTCGGTGGCCCCGCCACCGGCAGGCGGACCTGCACGCAACGCCTCGATCTTGCTCCCCTCGCGGACGCGGCACCGAGGTCCGCGGCAGCCCACGCGGCCTCCAGGAGGGCCCCAAGGGCGGCCCAAGAGCGCCCCAGGACGGCCCAAGAGGTGCCCGAGGAGGCCGCAGCAGGGCCCGAAAGGCGGCCCTCCAGAAGGGGGGGGGGCCCGCGAGGGAGCACGGGCCGAAACACCGAGGCCTCTGCCCCGAGAGGCCCCGGGGAGGCCCCAGGAGGGCGCCCAGGAGGTCTGCCGCCCTGCGGCGCCGCCTGCAGGGGTCCGTCTGGGAGAGCGCGCCCTCGAAACGACTCCGCCTGCGGCCACCTGACGGCTCTGCTCTGCCTCTGCCCCTTCGCCTCTGCCCTCTCCCTCCGCACCTCGCCCCCCCTCCTCCTCCTCCTCCTCCTCCTCCTCCTCCTCCTCTTCCTCCTCCTCCTCCTCTCCTCCTCCTCCTCCTCCCTCCTCCTCCTCCTCCTCCTCCTTCCTCCTCCCCCTCCTCCCCCTTCTCCTCCTCCTCCTCCCCTCCTCCTCCTCTCCTCCTCCTCCTCCTTCCCCTTCTCTCCCCCCTCCTCCTTCCTCATCCTCCTCCTCCTCCTCCTCCTCTCCTCTTCCTCCTCCTCCTCCTCCTCATCCTCCTCCTCATCCTCCTCCTCCTCTCAGTCTGCGTTGGAGGCCTGGCCCAGGCAATGCGAGCTCCGACGACGTGAGGATTTTCACCGAAACTCACTCACACGACTTCCGCCCCATACATCTCCAATCCCTGTCGGGCGGGCGAGAGGGAGTAGGGGGGAGGAGGAACGGAGAGAAGAAACAATCCCTGCAACCACCCCGATACCGTACTTTCTGCGACACCTTCTCGCGTAACAAGCTCGTAAGCTGGTGGCGGAATTTTCGTGTGCCGCAACTTTCCATGTTTATGGAGGATTGGAGTGTGACCTTGAGCAAAATGACCCGCCAAAAGATTGCTATGACTTTCATTTGCGAACAATTGGTTTCACTAGTGCCGTCGCTAAACAGCAGTTACCAGAGGGAAGATGGAGGCCCCGAGTTTCGGAGGCAACCAGAGGGTGCCAATGAAGAACCTCGATACACCGTAAACGATTCAGAGCCTGGGGAACAGCTGCACCAGGAACTTGGCCCTGTACCACATGAGGAGTCAAAGAAACAGAGAACGATTGGTTTGGAAAAGATGACGCTGGATATAGATGATCAGCTGCGGCAGTGGATCCCCAGTGACCCAGCTCTGCATTCGTTCGCCCGTCGGCGGGATAATTTGAACGAGAAAAACCACAGGGAAGATGGAGGACCCGGGGTTCGGAAGTGATTGGCCTTCGCCAGTGATGAACCTCAGGCGACAAAGAGGGAAGATGGAGGCCCCGAGGTCCGGAGGTCATTGGCATCTGCCGATGATGGGCCTCGAAAGCCCATGGACTCCCGAGGGGAAGCGGACGAAAAAGAGATCTGGGAAGATGGAGCCAACCCAAATTTCTGGAAAGGTTGACCCAGTAGATCGACACGTTTGTTCGCCGCCGGATAGAGAAGGTCTGACATGGTGGAGGCCCCGAAGTTCAGAGGTCACCGATTGGTGCCGATGACGAACTTTGAAAACCCATGCTCTTCCATGATGACCCTGCGATCGCAATGCCTTTAGAGTTCTTCAGTCGTACAGCGACCAACGAAGGAATCACGAAGAGCGTTTCGCAAACACTCTGCACGGAACGGGGGATGTCCATTGGAGAATTTGTTGAAGTACTCGGCTTTTTGTTTGCTTCGATGGGGAATTGCGCAGGTTCGGAGGAGGTGGGGAAGGAGCAGGGAGCAGACGCAAAGGGACCGGCAACATTGCCTAACGGGGACTCCCCCGGACCTCATCAGTGTTTGAAGAAAGGTTCGTCATAGAAAAGATGGCCCGGAACGCAACGGAAGAATTGCGGACGGCATCTTTGACATTAGCTGGAACAGTATTGGCCATTGCGTTCTTGCGGATGAACTAGGCGCGAATTTGTTTCCAGCCGCGCAGTGCGCGCTTTGGCAGAAGTGGAGTTCGGTCTTTCGACATGGGAGAGTTTTCGTGGAGTTATCGTTCGAGCTGGAGACCAATACAACTGCTACGCCGTGAAGATTACGCTCCCTCAGAATCGGAAGCTCTCGTCAGCGTTCAATCTTTTGCGCGTGCCGCATTTTCCCCCGGATTTTGTGGGAAACGAGGAGAACTATGCACATTGACACACACCGCTCCTGGCCAGGCCCATCCTGCGCCCAGGACTAAGTCGGGCCAGTCCCCTATACAGGCAAATCTTGCACGACTGATAGAACCAATCCACATATGCTTACAAATAGTCAGTACATAACCTCCAAACGATTGTTTGACTATATCGGGATATTTGTCTTGTAGAGGGACAGGCCCAACTTAAGTTCAGGATCTGTGTGTATGCTTCCGTGGCCACGCCACGAAGACGTGTGCACCGATATCCTGGCCCGAGGATGCGCCTGGCGAGGCTCGGTGTATGTGCACAGTACTACTCCTTCTACTTATCCTTAGTTTTTTTTTATAGTCCTCCTGTTACTTCCCATTATTTCTTCTACCAATCCCATTATCCGTAAGGGTTTCGCCCCCTGCCGTTGGCCCCCTTTTCTCGGATAGTGCGCTATGCAAGAGCTATGTCATGAGGCCTGGGCGCTGTCGTGAAGCAGTATCGGACCTTCATGCGAGGCCAACTCGTAATGAACAAGACCAATAGATGACCTGAGGGGTGACTACACGTGGCGATTGGGAAGACGTTGTGACCCTGCCGATCTGCGTGAAGGGTGCCGCCGGATTTCGGACATGTGGCAGATCCCTTGTGTCTTCGGACCCTGACCCAGCCGATCTGCGTGAGGGGTGCCTTTGAATGCTTCCGAATTTCAGAAATGTGACACGTCCCATGTGTTTTTAGAGCCTGACCCCGCCGATCTGCGTGAGGGGTGTCACCAAACGCTAGACATGTTGCGAATCCCATATGTTTTTGGACCCTGACCCCGCCGATTTGCGTGAGGGGTGCCACCCAATTTCAGACATGTGGCAAATCACATTTGGTTTTGCACCCTGACCCCGCCGATCTGCGTGAGGGGTGCCACACAGTTTCAGACACGTGGGAAATCCCATGTGTT